CAATGGACAATGATGTTTTGAATACATTGACCACGTAGGTGACAATATTGGCTAAAATGATGAAGGAGATACAAAAGCCTGAAGGTATGTATGAAGTAAAATCAACATTTATTTCTTCTTGTGTTTATTATGAAGATAATCATAATTTTGAAGAATGTCTAGAAAACCTCGAATTTGTGTATTTTTTGAGAAATTACAATAGAAATGACAATGCCAATGCATTTGGGAACACGTACAATTCAAACTTCTAAAATCACCCCAACTTATCTTGGAGAAGTCAAAATGTAGCCAAACCCAAGTGACACTGCAATCAAACTTTGGGAATACACAAAATCAATATTAGTCACAACAACAATATGCAAAAGAACAACCGAAGCCATAATAGTAACATTTGCATCATTAAGTGATGTAACCACATCAACGCAACATTCAACAAAATTTTCAAAGGCAATCTTGTAAACAAGCTAGCATATCTTTGATAGTTGAATCTCTACTGAAAGAGTATATTTTAAGGAATGATGCCATCATCCGAAGCCAGTCAGCATTGCTACGAGCATTGGAGAACCATGTTAGATAGTTGGCCAATGTGTTAAGCGACAGACCACAAGGAACTTTGATAAGTGATACTGAAGTTCCTAAAGCTCATGGAAAAGCTCAATGCAATAAGTTATGTAGATCCATTACGACAAGGATGTAATTCACTTGGGAAACCGGTTGAAAACAAGAAAGAGGATGAGAGGCCTCAACCACAGCCTAAAGAAAAAGAAGTGAAAGAGGTGATTAAAGAACCCAACATTGAGGTCATTACAAAGGATTTCGGGCAGAGTTGTAATTATAAGCCATTGCCATCAGCGATACCAACAACAATGTTGCCTGTAATACCACCATAACTGCCTCTGTAACAAAAACTAAGACCATTGTCTCCATTTCCTCAAACACTAAGGTGGACTAGCAATTTAAGAGTTTCATTAATGTACTTAAGCAATTAACAATCAGAATTTCATTGATTGATGTGTTGGAGCAAAATCTGAATTATATTAATTCATTAAGAAAGTACTTTCGAAGAATTTGGCTCTATTCGATTTCTTTGGCTTTCTTTGTGATCTCTTGTCCTCTTGTATGGTTAATGATCTCGCTTTTATACCTCTTCAATCAGTACTCTAGCTTGGAGTAACGATACTACATGCATTAATTACAAAAATATAGTCACTGGGGAAAGAGAAGTATCAATACTAGGCCAAGGTGTATCCGTACTACAATGTTAAGTAATATCAATATTGAGTGGAGAACCGATACCAAAAATGCATACTGGAATTTGTCAACTATTAAAAACATAAGGGTGGTGTCGGTATTATCATGTGGAGTATAGATACTTCTGTTATAAGTAGTATCGATACTGCCTGTAGTATCGGTACAAAAATGCTTACTGTTTTGTCAAACCAATAGGTAGTATCGATACTGCTTTAGTAGTATCGGTACTACTATGCATTTTTAAAGCATTAACATCGGTACTACATCATACCACATGAACAATATCAGTATGCTTAAAATGTATTTTTAACTCGATTGATGTTTGAAACCCGTAGAAAATTTTGTTCCAAAATTATTTCTAATATATAAATCAGTATTCAAGAAAGTAAGGAGTAAAATAGAGTTTTTGACTTTAGAAAAAGTTTATATATTTGAATGATCGAATCGAATATAATATTCAAATTTATTAAAAAATATTAATTAGTTTTAGCATATCAAAATATTAAAGTTGTTCAACAAATGTCTTATAAGTAATAAAATATTAAAAAACTAATTCACCATTGCATACCATTCTAGATGAGAGAACGAGTTATGTAATGATGAGAGAGGGAATTACCTCGCCTAAATATATTGACATTGATGCTTGAGTTGTAAAGCTACCTTGTTTGGCCTTGTAAGGAAATGGTTGAACGTGTTGCCTACGGGCACCTATGCATGTTGTGATTGTGTATGATGATGATTGATAGATATCTAAGATGCTTGGCTTGACTATTATGGTGACACCGAGCCAATGCTATGTATTACAAGTGATAGTGTTATCGAGGCATATTTGACACTTGGTTCCCCTCTATGATCTTTACCTGATAGATATGATGAGATTGGGAGATCATTATTGTTTTGATTGATTGATTGATAAGAATTTTATCGAGACATGTGTGACACTAGGTTCCCCTATTCGTGACTAGTACCTGACTGCTATAGTGGCATCGAGTGTTACGATTGTGTATATGTATGAGATTGATGTGTGACTCCCATGTTGTTAAGGTTAGAGACCAAAACATGTTCATGGCTAGGACCTTAGTTACGAGCATGGGAAAGCATGAAACTAATACTATTATGAAGTAAATATGATGAAAGTTAAGCAGATAGTATTTGGATTTATGAATCATGTATGTACTTACTTCTTATTGTTATTTCTGCTAACATTTTTATGTTTATAAGATTCATGACATATAATTTAGATTAGCAATGAAACTAATACTATTATGAAGTAAATATGATGAAAGTTAAGCAAATAGTATTTGGATTTATGAATCATGTATGTACTTACTGCTTATTGTTATTTCTGGTAACATTTTTATGTTTATAAGATTCATGACATATAATTTAGATTAGCAATATACTACTAAACTTTGTACAGCTCAACGTTTTGATGTTTCCATTCATAGGTTAGTTGATTGGACTCATTTGAGGAGCACCGTCGCGACATGACTTCCAACATCTTTTATCAAAGCACAATACTAGTTATTTTTAGTGGGCATGTGCGTTCATGGGACCCTTACTTTTTGGTCTATAAACTTTGATATTTGTATTATTTTGATTTAAACTAAAGTGTCATAAAACTCCGATTTTGTATAAACATTTTATAATTGTTATTCATGTCGTATTTTGATAAATCATATTGTGTTTTTAAAATGAAAATGAAAAATATTTTAACTTGGTAGTTGCTTTTGCATATGACATCTTAGTCACATCTGATAGTGATTAAGTTTAGGGTGTTACACTGGGCCAAATGACACCATTTTGACACCACTAATTCAGTCCCCCAAAACAATATAGTTAGGGAGCTATATAAACCCCCTACACTCTTTTTCCTTTTCATCTTCATTTTTTCTATTTTCATTTTCTTTGAATTTTTAGAGGCATTTGTGTCATCTGTAGCATCGACCAGTCATTGGTCCCGTTGAACGCCTCTGATCGCTGCATCGCCCACTGCTTCTAACAATGTTCGAAGTTCAAAACTCACAGGTTGAACCTTTTGGTCCCATGAGCACATATGTGAGGTTTGTTCTTCCAGCCAAGGCTCTAATCATCGTAGATCTAGGGAAAATATTTAATTTTCCTTATCTCTAATGTGCTTTTCCAATCGTCATACACTATCAGATGACTTTGCTTTCAAAACATATTGCTCTCATCGCCTGATGAGTATATTCACCACTCGGATTTTGGAGTTGAGGCTCCGATCGCCGGAACTCGAGAACCTTTACTTTTTACCTTTTCTCATTTTCTATTTGATGGAAATCTCACATTTTCCTTTGATTCTTTTGTAGGTTTTTTGTTGTTGCATGCAAAGAGGGTGGTTATTATCCTTGCCACTTTCATCGATCGAGGACGTGACTGCTGTTGCTGAAAAGGAGGCATGACATTCGTCTACTCTCCTTACTTGACTCGCTGTGTGGGCTGGAGCAAGCCTATTGAAGGCTGATTTGGGTCAGCGTTTGGGCCAAGTTTAGGCTAGTTCACTATTTTGGTTGCTGGAACATGGTCTATGGGTCAAATTGGTTGGACAAGGGTTCACAAATAATGGGTAATTTATTGTTGGGCTTGAATAGATTAGGCTTGGGGTTAGGATTCTAGTGAAATTAGCATCCTCGAAACTTAATTAAAAACCCCAATTCAATTTCGAAATTAACTACGAGATGTACACAAATATTTGAATGTTTGGTCTCTAATTTTCTAATAATAATAATTGATTAAAATCCAATCAAATCAATTCATCAACCATTATCATCGTATATTAATATTATACAATGTAAAATACATTTAAAATATAAAATCAAATACTTATATGTATAAATCAATTTAATTTCTTAATTCGATATTTGAAAACAATTATTAGATATTCACTCGATATAAATAATTCATAAAATATCTAATATCTTATTTGAAAAACATAGTTAATTAAAATTAATCATTCATATTCAAAATTTAGGATGTTACAAAATAACCCTAAATGATAAGAATGACAAATAAAAATGTATGTTTTTTAAAAATAATATATCAATAATTCTGTATATACTTGATTATATTCATCCCCAACTAAATTTGAATTAACTCGAAGACTCAAAGATTGATTGGAATGGAAAACTAACTAATTTGATATTGACTCGGTGTAAAAATTGATCGATATGATATTGACTTAATTTAAAAATCAATCGATTTGATATTGACTTAAACTAAAAATTGATCGATATGATATTGACTCCACCGACTTATCATAAATCCGAACTAAATTAAAATCTAAAAAGACCTGACCTAAATCTAATATAAATTGATTGCAGTCTAGACCTAAATTTGAACCCAATCCAAATGACGCTATTGTGACCTCTAAATAGTTTGATCAAACTAACTCAAATAAAAGAGCTTTTATAAACTAAATAAATAATGCTTTCAAAATAATTAATCCAAATGTACTTTAATTTAAAATTAATGTATAATTCTAAACAATCATAATATATTTAATTTAATAACTAATAAAATAATAATTATTTAATAGGACTTAATTTAAAATTGATTTCATTAAATAGTTTATTTGAAGAAAAATAAAGATTCTCCCACCGTTATGGGGGAATTAACACTAGTATAGCTGCATAAGTAAATACATAATTTACATTTTTTTTTCGTTCATCAGCAAAAAAAAAAAATAACATTACAGAAAAACGAAAATAATACATTGCTGACGTCACCAACTATTCCCCCGAAGATGAATGGTAGTTTCCTCCCACACCACCAGCCCCATAACCATTTGACCATGTCTCCAATGGTGCATCCGCAGAGCCGAGCTGGGTCCCACCATGTACCCCATAACCACCATAAAGGGTAGCGGGGCCCCACATATCCGACCCCGGTGGAGGAGGCGGGTAGTAACAGTAAGGTCCGCCATGTGCCACGGCTGCCGGGGGAGGAAGATACGACGGTGGAGGCGGATAGTAACCATTTGGCGGCAGACAATAATTAGTTTGTTGGATCGGAATCAGATCCTGCACTGACATACCTTCTAAATCTAGAACTGGATATTGGACTCTCGGAGATCCGCTCTCAGGTTCAGGATAGCCAGTTATGAGGCTCGCCTGAGATTCCATCTTCAAACCCTGATCCTCCCCGACCTTCACCTTAAAAGAGAAATCCAACGCTCCATTCGATTTCCCATCTCTTGTCCGTACCTGATAAGTGACGAACCTAACACATCCACTATTAGACTCCTGGATCAGATCCGCTAAAAGAATAACAACTTCGCCGATGAACTTGTCCCCGAACATTGCTCCCTCGTGGTACAGATCAAAGTGTAGAAAGTATTTCTCGCAACCACGAAACAAGTCGAACCGAATCGTATGGTTCCACTCGGGATTCCCATCGCCTTCTCGATCAGTGGGTGTCCTCTGAGGCTGTTTCCGATCAACGTTCTTGTCGTCGTCGGTGGCGATGGAAACAAGGGCGTAGACTGAGAGCTTCTGGAAGAAGTTGAATGGTTTAAGAGACTTACAGGAAATTACTCTTACCTCTATGAAGCTGCTGCTGGATTCCATTGTGATATAAATTACGAGAATTGCTTATTAAATGAATGCTTAAGCTTACACTTGCTGAAATGAATGCGTGTGTTTGCAATTTTAATATAGTCCTCACAATGTCACCTGCGATTATTAGAAGCTTGGATCTAGGGATTTTTCTCCTTTACTTTTTTCTAATTTGATTGATAAATACATTTATTTTTCTAATAATCAAAAATATTTTTTAAAAAATAAAAAGGGGTAAAGTATACAAATGATCCACTGACTATAGGGTGATGTTTTTTTAAGTCTCTCGACTATAAAAAGTTATAAAATGGTCATTTGACTATAAGATGTTGATTTGTTGAGTCCATCGACTATTAAAAGTTACAAATTGGTCACCCGACTATAGTATGTTCCATACTCATCATTTTTCATTAAAAAAATTAACAACAGTTTAAGCTGGATGTTAACATGATAATTGAGATATGATAAAATTTATTCTCAAAATCTAAAAAAAACTATCATATCTTAGCCAACAGATTAACATCCAACTCATATTGTTGTCAGTTTTTAATGAAAAATAACGAGATTGGAACATACTAAATAGTCGAAGGATTATTTGTGTATTTTACCCAAATAAAAATAAGGTTTTTATTCAATAAAAGGCTTAATACAAAAAAATATTAAATGATACAATTTTTTCATTTAGTCGTCTAATTTGTTTTGCCAATTTAGGTACATAATGTTACCAATATTATTATTTAGATGTCTAATGTTATCATTCAGGTGATTTGACCGTAATAGACGTTAAAGAAATATATTATCTGACAAGTGTCGCAATTATAAAAGTTTAAAATTTTTATTTAATTTTTTCAAAGAATATTATTATATTAAAAAATCCAATTTTTCTGAAATTACAAAAAACCAAAATCCCTAAAATATCTAACCTTAATTCCACATTGCTAGTTGTCATTGTCGTCCTTGTCACATCTTTTGTCGTTCGTCGTCATCCTTGTTAGAGGCAAAACTAGGAATTTATTAAAGCGGGATGTCGAAACGAATCTAAAAATTAGAGGATTTAAGAGTTTGCCTCGACTAATTTGGGGTTTCTTTTTAAAATTAAAAAAAAAGATTTAAGGAGTCACCACTAATCTTTTATTAGGGTTTGATTGGGCACAAAAAAAGGTTGTCACTTTAATAAAAGTTTAATTTTAATATTATTAAAACAACATTTTTAAGTTTGTGTTCCAAAAAATTAAGTTTGGGAATCGATTACACGCGGGGAAAGGTTAGCACTCCTATATCATCCTAAATAGGTACCTAGTTGATTAATTAGTTGTCTTTGCAATGAAACTTACAAAGTCAAATTTAATTTAATTTAATATCCTTTTTTTTTACCATATAAAAATATTAGTCTTTGAATTTCGGAAGGGAAATAATGATATTTAATTATTTCCTATTGAAAAGAAAAGGTATATCATGCCTTAAATCAATCAATTCATTTTCAAATTGAAATGAAGAAATATCATCATTCTATTCAAAAAGTTAGTTATTAATTCATATTTCAAATGCATGAATTAAGATAAAAATACAAAAATTAATTAATTATGAATTACTAATCCTTTTAGAAAGAAGAATGATGTTCGATTATTTAAAGACATTGAGTTTGAACCTTTTATATGTTCTGACGGCCTTTTCTGATGAATTTAAATAGGCAAACATTTCTTTTTCTCTCGTTCCTAAATTTTAGGTGGGATCATTCTTAGGGTTTCACTTAACAGAGTAACCCTTCATTTTAAAATTATTGGAAATGATTTTTTTTATACCTTAAGATAGTCATCTCATGATAATTTTAAAATGTAAGGGCATTACCCTTATTCTCATTATTTGATCAGTGAAATGTTGCACATCAGGATATCATATATATTATGCTAAACCGATGCCATGTGGAAAACCTACGTGCAAACCAATGCATATTAAAAGAAACACTTGTGAGCATATGTTAGGCTACTCAATTAAGGGACACATAATATACACATACCATATTTTGATTAGCATACACATTATTTGTCTATAACGAAATGACCATCCAGCTCAGTTGGTAGAGTACAAGGTTCTTAACCTTGAGGTCGTGGGATCGAGTCCCACGGAGGGCATTTCATAATTCGGAGGTCTCTTACGGAAGCTGCTCTCAACCTGGTGTTGGGTAGTAGTCTACTATCTTACCTCCCCCTTACCCCATACATATGGGAAAAAGGGACAACCATATTATTTATCTATAACGTATTTAACGTGCATATACTAATATAATACAATATATTTTATACAGAAAATACAGGATCCTAACAAGTATTCATGCCTATGTATGCGCATAAATAAAAAACATGACATAGTGACTAAAATGGGTTAAGAGTGAACATACAACCTTAAAATGCAAACCTAAACTAAATACAAGGATTAAAACTAATAACATCACCATATATATATATATAAACAATAGACAAATTACACTACATACAAATGGAAAGGAACTAAATTGGAAAGTGGTAACATGCAATGCAAGGCTTGAATAAATAAATATAGACAGTAAAATGGTTTAGATGTAGATTGCATAACATGTAAAAGTAAAATTCTGGAAATAAGCATGCATAAATTAAAAAGACAACATTCAACAAACAAAAGGGGAAAAAGTGGCCAAATGGAACGGACAATGGAATGATGATCATGATCGAGATAGAAACGAAGTTGTGGGGACTCGAATAAAATTTACCAAGTAAAGACCATGAGCTCTAAGAGGACTAACATGAAATTGACGAAGAAATACAGGTCAAAATAAAAAAAACAAATATATGAAAATAGGACCAACATGAAAGGATGAAAAAACAAGAGGAACTATGACGATGGTTTTCTCTTGGTCGCTTAAAAAACACGGAGGCCTTTAATAGGTACTTTAATGGGGATTGTCTCAAGAAAGACAGGTTAATATACGGCTAATATACGGCATTACCGGATACATTAAAATGTATTTAATAAATTCGGTTTAGCGGTACCTATTATGTTGACAACTAATAATGTTTTAGGTAGAAAATATGAAAAACTATTAAAAAATTTGGTAACTGGTAAACTTTGGTTATCGGCAAGTATCTATCATTTTTATAAAAGTGTCCATACTTTTAATATATCAAGTAAATTTTACCGGTTTTGTCATAATGAATCTGGTTTTGTCATATTTTTACCTGTTATATTGTAAAGTATCTATCATTTTTATAAAAGTGTCCATACTTATTTCACTGTGAAAATATATTTATTATTATCTTTGGGTAATATTGTTAAATTTAAATTCTAAATAATATTTTATAAAATATCAAAACAATCAAATAATTTTTTGTGTAAATGAAATTATTAAATTAATATTGTAGGTGGAAAACATGAAACACTATTTAAAAAAATTGAAACATAAATTACATAACTTTAAAAAAAGTATATATCATTTTTATAAAAGTGTCCATACTTATAAAAGTAGGTCTAAGTCATGAAGAAATATTAAAAAACTGTGCTACCGGTTCGTGTCGATCCAAATTAAAAATGTGTCGATCCAAAACGATATAACAGGTAAAACTATGACAAAACCGGTATAGAAATGATAAAACCGGTAAAGCGCTACCGGATACATTTAAAGTGTCGGTACTTTAATATAAAGATCGACACTTCGTGAATTTAAAAGAGAAGCAGTTTTAAATCCTATAAAGTGTCGATACTTTTAAAAAATGTATCGATCCAAAACGATATACCAGATAAAAATATGATAAAATCGGTATCAAAATGATAAAACCGGTAAAACGTTACCGGATATATTAAAAGTGTCGATACTTTATATAAGGATCGACACTTTGTGAATTTAAAAGAGAAACAGTTTTAGCGCCTATAACGTGTCGATACTTTAAAAAAATATATCGATCCACAACGATATAACAGGTAAAAATATGATAAAACCGGTATCAAAATGATAAAACCGGTAAAATGATACCGGATATATTGAAAGTGTCGATACTTTCGTAAGTACGTGTAATAAATTATCGACACTTTCAAAGAAATAGGTAATTATCCTTTCGAAAGTATCGACACCTGACATAAAAGTATCGACACTTTTGTATTTGTATTGATTAAATATAAATAACATATCCGATGAAAATATAAGCTAAATATCCTCTGAAAATAGATAGAACGGACGAGTTTTTGAAATCGAAGCGTAATTTTTGCTGCATTTCAGAAGGCGTTTCTAAAGCGAAGTTTGTTTGTTTGTTGCTGCAGTCGAATCGAAAAGTATGTTGTCGAAACCCTAATTTTTTATTATTACAATAATCACGATAGGGTTTTTATGTGTTGTTTGGAGTTTTGGAGTAAAGAAGCATTTGGGACCGATTGCAGGTAGAAAGTGATATTCAAGGAAAAATATAAATGTCGATACTTTTATTAAATATTATAGGTAGAAAATGATATTATAGGTTGTATAAATGTGCCGACACATTTTGGTGTGGCCATTCAAATTCTTTTGAAGAAAACCGTTTTACCACAAGAGTAGTTATCTATATTTGTATATTGAATAAAGTTTATGTAACAAAATAATTTGATTTGCGTAAACTGATATATGAAGGAAAAATGGAGTTAATGGGTTGGAAAATTATTGGTGGAGCAGATGACTTTGAAATTGAGGCCGAGACTCGAAAGCAACCAAAGGGTGGATATATGTACTTCTAGTAAGTATCAATGTCTTTTTGTTATTATTGTTGAAATGGTAATTGGATTAAAGTATCGATAAACTTTAAATTGATTACAAATTTTAAATGTTGACAGTATGGCCGAATGCAAAAGGATGAAGGAAGATGGCACACAGAGTGGTTCAGTATGTAAAATGAAATTGACATTGAGTAGTATTTAGTGTTAATGTATTGATTAAGAAACGTTTATGTTTTATATTAGGTGACAAAAGATGTGAGGTCCAAATGGAATTCAATGAGTGATGCTGAAAAGGAACC